TACTGTAAGATTATATAGTTATATAGAGTCCTTAAAGATAATCACACCAGAAAAAATGGCACACAACTACTCTTTGCCCTCAGCAGTCGCCCAACTTGCACATACAAAGAGAGAGAGAGGAGAGCCCTATTTAATTAATCAGAAACTACAAAGTCAATTATTAACCAGTCTTGGTATGCTGTGTTCACATATTATGCAATATACATGTTTTTCATTATGACAAGGAGACATTGTGGAGGTCTTATATGAGCATTCCTGAATTGCCTGTTATGTTTTATTCATGGCCCGGACCTGCGGTGCGGCGCCTGTTTAAGCGTGGCATCGAGCGAGCAGCTTGTTCAGCCTCGCTGTGGTCCACTGTGGGCTGACTTGGTGGAAAGTGTTGACCTTGTTTTGTTGCCAGCGTGTGCCAACGCTGTCCACTCTCATTTAATTCAATTGTACTGCCGGTTCAAATCAGCGCTCAGGTTGATGTTCCTCTTTAAAGTGGCGACCTGGGAGATTCTGATTTCATATTTTGATTGTATATGTAGAGCTAAGAAACTTTTTGTTTTCCAGAAAATGCCCATCAGACACCAAGGGCCAGATTTACATACAAAATGTTTATCCGTAGTCTGCTTGTTATAAATGCCTGAATTGCCAAGACAGCAGCTTATTATGCAACCAGCAAGTTTGGCCTGGGACTTCCATTACATGGCATCCCTACACCCCTCCTGTCTCTTTCTCTGTACAAAAATAAAACCGAAAAAGCCACAACAGGAACACATAGTATATCACTGTAAACCAACATAATTTTAGAATTTCAAACAGGATCAAAGTCTGTCATTGATTTTCTGTTGGGAGAAAAACAAAAAGGTTGATACCGAAGGGTGTAGTTACTTCTACTTCTGAAAGTGTTTTTTTTTGTTGCCAGGCAACACTTAGTTCTTCAGACGAGCTACGTTTTTCCTTCCCTTAGAATTAAAGAGCGTAAAGCTGGCAGCAAATTCACTGAGCAGTTGTGGAGACCCCAGTGCATATGTGATGTGACTAGTTTATGCTTCTCTTCCATTGACAGCTCCCCTCCCGCTTATCTGTTCTCACACAGTCAAGTGACATTTAGCTGTGGTGTGTGTGTGTGTGTGTGTGTGTGTGTGTGTGTGTGTGTGTGTGTGTGTGTGTGTGTGTGTGTGTGTGTGTGTGTGTGTGTGTGTGACTGTACTGTACTGTACTGTATAACCAATGTATGTGTGCTTGTACATGTAAATTTACATCCAGGCTTTCCTCTCTGCCGTTACATGAGTATTTCATGATCCCATATCCAGGTACATTTTGTGCCTGTGACCACAAGGCAAACACACGCTGCTGATAAGCATGCATATAGAAATGTCTTATCTTGCTCATGTGCCGGTACAGGGAGGGAGGGAGGGAGGGGATGAAACTAGGAAAGAGCAGTGTTGATATAGCTGGATGTAAGCAGACAGATGTAAGAGGACAGAATCAGCCTTGTACCTGCATCAGTATGCCACAATAGTTTCTGCTCTGCCCTCTTGTTCCTCTGTGCAAACAGGAGACAGCAGCTGGCCTCTTCAGCCCTGCTCTCGGTCTCCACAAGAGGATGAATCTGTCATGATGTCCATTAGTGTTATTACTGCTCTGACGTCCATGAAAGCAGTCAGGGTGTCCCTTATTGTGTCGACATAGCATGAAACCCATGCTGGCATGCACAGCCTAATCTGACACATCAGATTTACCCGATCCTACCGCGTCTATTGTATTTTACCCTTCATGCAGCAGAGTTTAGTTATCCACTCCTACTCCCCTAAACTTACTTATCCACTACTTGGGGCAACAGTGAACCTCTTATCTACTCCCCAGTTTTAAAAGTTCTCTCTGTATTACATATCATCTACCAACCCAGTTCACAGTGAGAATACTGTACCACAAATATGCAGCTGATGCGCTTTTATAAATTGAAAATGCATTTGTGGAGATATTAAATTTCTTGTTATACACGGCATCATTTGGATATCCAGTGATTCACACGCAGTTACTGACTCAGCACTGGGGTACAACAATATTAGTAGAGGTGCTGATAAATAAGGTTGCATTAACTTTTATTTTTGTAGAGTTTTTGTGTGATAGTGCCAAAACTTCCAAGGTCCAGTGTGTAACATTTAGGAGGATCTGTTGGCAGAAATGGAATATAATATTTATAGGTTTTCATTAGTGTATAATCACAATCCTAACCTTAGAATGAACCGATTTTATCCACTGAAGAAGCAGTCGAGTAGTATGGATGCCGCCATGTTCAAGAGCCATGTTTTTACAGTGACCCAGAATGGACAAACCAAATAGGCTAAAAGGTTAGAATTCCAACATGTTTGGGTCTCCTGTAGTATTTGGGAAGTTGCAAACATGACAGTGGTGACACTGATGTATAAGGCAGATAAAGTTTGCTGGAAAGTCATTATAGCAGTTAATATAAGCAGTTCTTGTTCGTGCTTACAGAGAACAATCTCTTCCAACAAACTTAAAGAGGCAAAATCAAACAGAATTAAAAGTCAGATTTTTGCAACCATTATGTAGCACCAAAGTCAATGAACACAAAGCTACTGACTATTTGAGTCACAAATTGCTTTTTTATTGCCTTATGTATTTATTTATTTTTAATTTAAACCCAAGCTAATGGATTGAAATATAATGTTGCAGACACTCTACTTCCTGCGAATCTTACTCCCATATTGACTACTGTTTTTTGTGTTTTTTCATTACGTATGTTGTATTTTATCTCTTTTGTAGCTCTTATGGATTGTATTGTCTGCCTTGCAGCAAGCAAATTTTCAAATTAGAGGCAGCGTGAGTTTGAATTTTATCGTATTTTCTGGTAGTGCGAGTGTAAATGTCACTGCTCCTGGGCAGAGAGGTTTCTGAAAACAAATGTGAGAAATCCTCATGAGCTTTAAGTGTTAACAATTTATAAACCGGGAGTAATTTCATTGCATTTGATTTATGAATTTGAACCTACATCAGCCTTTATTTCTAGCGCTTTAATTGGGAATTGTTTTTTTACCATAGTGGTTACTACATACAGTATTTTATTAAATAGAGTTTCTCTTATTTTTCTCTTGGTTTTTGGTTGATGCATCTGCAGCCACTCAGATCCATTTAAGGTTCATTCTTTTTGTGAAGAAAAAAACAAAATGTATTTTAAGACAAGACAATTCAATTCTCTTGGGTGTTGGGATTTTAGATCAAAAGAGGAGCTGTAGTTTCAAAAACAAGAAGAGGTTGGCCTCCTAAAATAGCATCTTATTCCAGTCCCAAGCACCGAAGAGTAAAACGGAACGTTGCCCAGGCTTTGTTCTGAGCCTTGCTGGACACCGATTAGCCATGCTAGCACTGGCCATGTGGCTCTGTGCCTCCGTGCCTCCGCCACCAGAGTCTCTCAGTGAGGGAAGTCTGAATGCTAAAATGAAGGATTTTTTTCAGCATTAGCAACCAAATGACAAAAAACCCCACAAATATTGTTTTTTTTTCTCCCCTCAAAATGCATGTTTTATCAAATGTGGACCATTGCTTCTCATGAGAGGTAAGGGATCTGGAGGGCTGGTCATTAGTGGCATTATTTATAATTTTTGTTTGTTTAACCACAAATATAGAACATTTGTACCGATAGAAGGAAAGCTCAGAGGGACACAGATGTGAGATTTGATCCTGGCACAGCAACACGACATAATCATTCCAGAGTCACAGGTTTTTATGTCACAATATGCAACTTTTTGCCTCGAGGCAGCATGTGTTTGTGAGACGCACCTTACTTCCGCTGCGATGGGCAGCTCACACCTCAATACATGTCAGTCATCTTGATGAACTATCTAACTTGGCCCGAGGCTAACGGAGACAGCATCTGTAAGGCCAACAACATCGAAGAAACTAACAGTCAACTCAACCAAACTGGTTTAATACAGCAAGGACGATCATGAACGTAGGTTTGGAACAGGCATTTTTTGATTTTATATTACACTGCTGGTCTTTGGTTTGACACGCCATCATTCTTGGTTCTGCATATTCTCACTTTGATGGCCACAGCCCAATTGACTTATGCTCACAATCAATATTATACAACCAGAAATACTTTAAACATGGAAAGAAAAGTCAATATCAGCTAAATTAGAGTTGTTGAGCATTGTGCATAGATAATATTTTAAAGAATAATTATGTTGGGTTTTCTTTCTGGTCATTATTCCCACTAGTAGAAGTAACACTGAACTCACCGATTTCAATTAGTTAAAAAACTCAAGGGGTTAGATGAGGAGACTGTAGCATTGTGCATGTACAATTTTCCTCTGCAGTGAGGGATTATTATTGATATTTCAGGTCTCAATTTCCATTGTACATAAAAAAAAAACCTGGTTTAGATGATCTGACTTCACTGTCGGCTTGTGTACAACCAATTTGACTGCTTGTGTTTCTCACCCTGTCACACTTTGCTGTAGCACTGTAACCCCTTTTTCTGGATCTCACCACAATCCGCTTGAAGGTGCTCTGGCACATTGTGGCCTATCTGGAAATGATCTCAAGCGTGGCTTTTATACTGGTAATGGGAATCAAACCAGCACAGCATGGTTGGACTTATGGCTGCACGGCTAAAAGTGCCAATGAAAAATCCCTATGTGTCTGACTTATATTTACTGCAGGGCTATAGACATATGGTGAATTTATTATTCTTTTTTGTTGCAAACAGGTGCCTGTTGTACCCCCAAACGTCACTGATGGGAGTGGTGAGAGTGAATCAGAACAGTGAAGTTGTGCTCTGGAAAACTAAAACTATGGGAAACTATGCTATAAAGCTCCATAGAGCTGGGGGGAACTGCAGAATCGGGTGATTCTTTGTGGGTTCAACATTACTGATGCTGCATCTTAAACTTCAGCTTCTCCTACCACCATTTTATCTCCAGCTAACTCTTTCTTTTCTCTCCTTCCCTGCTCTGTTTGTCTCCCTCCCTCTCTGTCTGCAGGATGCCAAGTTTGTGGAAGAGAGGAGGAAGCAGCTGCAGGGCTACCTGCGCATAGTGATGAACAAACTGATCCAGACACTGCCGGAGTTCACAGCCCGCCCCACCAAAGAGACCCTGCTGTCTCTGCTGCCTTTCTGTCTGTAAGTGGACACATACAGGCATGTTCGATACAGCATCTGAGCTTTTGTGTGAGCATATGTAGTGGCGTACGTGGGTTAGAGAGATTGAGGGGAAAGGATGCCAGCACATGTGTGCAGGTGCAGGGCTCCTGTCTGTGAAAGATTGATACAGTGTTACAGAAATACTAGTGGAGGAATCCAAACAGGAACAGTCAGGGAATATGTTACAAGGAAATGAATTAGGGAATGTAAATATCTTTGTAACTTTCTTTATGTATTCATAGCATTAGGAGGAGGTTTTCTGGTCCAGTGTTTTGTCCACAGCAAACTCAAATGGAAAGAAAGGAAAAGGAAAAAGGGGAAAACTGTCATTTTTTGGCAGTAGTTTGTACGTATTATACCAATTTAATCTACAAGATTTTCAGAAAGAATTAGCTGCCACGGCTGTTGTCGCAGCAGTTGTTACAGGATACAAACGGGGAGGATTAATGTCACTGAAAATGCCAAATCCCTTGTAAACAAACTTCCATGTCTCTGCGTTTTACACTCATACGCATATTCACACATACAGCGTATATGTTCTCTCACACACATTCACACGCACTCAGACTAGCAAGTGTGAAAGTGCATGATGCCTCGGCTGCCCACCTACCTCCCAGGCTACATCCGAAAAATGAGATGTTCCAGTCATTTCCTGTCAATATTCACATCAGTTTCCACTTACTGCGATCAGTCAGCGAGCGTGACCTGTCACACCGTCTGACTGGAATGTCATTTTCTCTCTGGAGACATCTGAGTCATCGGGCTAAAGCAACAACAACAACATAGTTGAAATATATGTAGACTAGAATGTTTGTCAGTTATTGTGTAACCCAAGACCAACCACAGTAACATGTGATAGTAGATATGTGATTTTATAATTAAATCAAAGGGATAAACTTCTAAATCCATCTGGCTTATTATGAAAACTGTCTAGGAAGAGATCTACATAATTATCCAAGATCATTTTGGTAACCATGGTAACATGTTTGCACATCAGCATGTGATTGCAGGGATTTTCCCAGATACATCAGAAAGGAAAGGAGTTAAACAGAGGTGTGCTGTTCTTTTTACCATACCATCTCCTCCCTATTATTACAGTACACAACGCCTCTTTTTCCTCCTTTTTCTACATTATTTATGATATATAAGATCTGGTTGCAGTCTTGACTAATAACTCTGATGATCAGTAATGTCTTCCTGAGCTTGGGAGAAAAGATCAATTAACTCATAAGCTGCAGTAGCAAGAGAAATACTCAGATATTTTACTTGAGTGAAAGCAGCAATACCACAGTGCAGAAATACTCTATCACATTACATTCAAAATTTGACTTAAAGCTAAACTATTTAAGATTTGGTATTTGTGTGATTTGGCACCCAAGTTGCAATACCGCTGTCTTAAATATACAGCTGGACAGGTGCATTTGTTATGATAAAATTTTTTAGGATTAAAAAATGAGCGAGGCAACAACTTGTCTAACACAGCCAAACATCGAGCAAGTGCAGCAACACGAGACATAGCGAGCCAGCTAATATTACTGACTAGTCCAACAGCAAGAAGGCTGGCACGGCTCTGACTCACCAATGACTAAAAGCCAGTCCGAGATTTACTCTTTCCTGTTGCTTCTCTCTCCTTTTCTCTACTAAGCGTCCCCTGGCCTCCTCTTAGGTCGCCGCTGCCGTTAGCTATGTCTGCAGATACTTCTGAGCCCAGTCACATTGACTGGTCACCCTGCTCCGGTTGTGGCACAACCAGCATCACTTTCCAGCAGCGTTCTCCAGTTTTTCTCTATAAAATATGTTTCACCAAAATCAGTGACTTACAGTAGTTGGTGGTGTGTGACTACTTTTGTAAAGGGTTACGTGCTTGTTGCGACCCAAAACCAAGTCACATAGTCCGAGAACAGGCGTAGGGGATGCAGAGTGGGAATGACAGAGGCACTTTTACCAGATTACAACTCGGTGTAGCATCAAAATGATAGTGAAGCTGATATTTTAAGGTAGAAAAATTGCATGTTGTTGCTTTAAGTACAAGTACATAAGTATTTGCATCAAAATAAAGTCAAAAAGTAAAAGCAGTCATTGTGCAGAATGTCTAATTTCCAAATCATGTATATTATATTATTGGAATTATAACTATCGATGCATTAATGTTGAAGTGCTGCTGCTGGTAAAGGTGTAGAAGTAGAGGTATAAATTATAATTTATACTTTGTACTTAAGTACCTGAAAATTGTACTTGAGTGTAGTAGTTGAATAATATACCTACCACCACTGGCTGTCAGCCACTGGAGGCAGTGATGATGCAGAATCACATCACCAAAACTGTCCAATAAATAAGTTCAGTCTATATGATTTTATGTTTGCACCTCTTGGTTCTCTTGTAACAACATCAAAAATGTGTCTTTCTTTTTCTTGGTCCGGCCCTTGAAGCAAAGTCTGCTAAAGACTTTGTAACATTACTTTCTTCCGTTCTTTCTACACTGAAATATTGTTATTCAGACTACATACTCTTCATATGTACATCTATTCTTGCACAGTTGCTGCATGTGTTTGGGATTACTATTGTCTGCTTATGTACCAGTTACTCCTGACTTTTATCCCAGGAACACAGCAGGTTAACCATTAGTAAACAGCAAAACAACAGGTGACGCTGGCCAAACTCTGCTTTACCTGGTGGTGTGAAAAGCTGATGTCCACAGCAGCTGCAGAGAAAGTTGATCTGTACATCACGCTAACAAGTTTGCACAGCAACATCTTGAGCATAACATGTTGCACAGAGCCTGCAAACCTGTCTGCGCTTGATGAAACTTTATGATGACAGCTGACAGACTTGATAGCAAATGACTTTTACTCGCATATGCAGGTCTGTCTCGGCTTGTGGTGATCTGGACTGACACGGAAATTCTCAACACCATGACTCAATGGAATTGTAGCCGACATTAAATCAACACTGATCAGCATACCATAATGTACCTCATGTGTGCGTGTGAAGGCATACAGTACTCTCTAGTTTGTTGCCAGTGTTGCTCTGAGGCCCCACCAGCGTGCCATGATGTGTAATGGTTTAACATGATGTTACTGTCTAATCTGGACTCCGTAACTGTCTGTTCAGTTGGCGTGATCAAACCTGTGCTGGTCCAACATCTTCAGTGAGGGATGAAAGACTAGAGATTAGTCTGCTCGTTAACTTAATGAAGGGGGGAGGGAAGGAACGTGGAGCGGATGCAGAGGCAAACGAGAACACTTGCTCTAGATGGAAACCATACATTGCTTGCTCAGCCATAGCTGATCCAAATTAACAAAACATTGATTATTGTAAATTCTCAAATAGTGGGCAAGTCTCAAATAATAGATAGTACAGACTAATAAGGCCTGTTGCTAATATAAGCCGGCTAAGAAAGGACATTGAGGGGGAACAAATCTAACAGTATTACATTATCTACCTACAGCTAATTATCCTCTGGACCTCCGTGATGTTGCCATATTTTGCTGCTGGCAGATTTGAGACACAATGGCAAAGCGTGGAGCGATGCAAACACGAGATGCCAGATGTTCTGGTGCATTTCACAACAGCCATTTTGACATGAAATAGTAGGGTAAACACAGGTGTTACTACTGATACCAATTCAGGTTTTGTTCCACTCAGGTCAAACAGAGTCAGGGTGCTGCTATTGTGCATGTTGGCTCACCGGAAAGGCTCCACTACACTAAATGGAACGGAACATTAATTAGTATAATTGGTAACACCTGTGATTACCCTACTATTTCATGTCAAAATGGCTGCTGTGAAAGAGGGTCTACTGAGAGAATTTGAAGCCATTGGACACAGAAGCAATATAGTAAGAGCAATTAAGAGAATAGGACAGTGGAGGAGTGAAAGGACGGAAGCTGGTCTGAGGTCTGAGGAGGAGACAGACTGGGGTTCAGCACTCCAGATCTCCTGCTGAGGCACTTGATGGATCTCAGACCTCCTTAATGAGTCAGCTGCACTGACCTAAATGCGTGATGAAGATAGGGTGTAGTAACTGTGGCAGTGTTGTGAATGTTGTAATTTTTAGTGACAATATTCCGGTTACAAATCCATACAAAAGTCACTACTTTACTATGAACATCAGCTTGAAGTTGAGTCATTCAAAAACTATATTACATGCCAATCTTTGTGGGATTTTGTCATAATTAGTCACTCAGAGTGATATAAGTCGGCAGAAGGCTTGCCTGGAAGGGTTCCCACTGTTTTGATTTAACTAAGCAGTAGTTTGACAAAGGCACTGACACCAAACATTGCTATTTGATCACACTGATCTTTGACAGACAGCATATGAAAGTAAGAGTGCATGACATCTTGTGTTTTCAGAGAATCAAATAACTGTACCCTAGAGAAATAATCATACCTGCTGCAGTGTATACTTCCTTTTCACTTGCACAATACAGAGAAACTAACATTCTGCGTTTAAATATGCATTTCTGAGATACAACATTCAGAATTCAATCATTCTTGCCTTCAGAAATAGTAGGTTGACAAAGATCTTCCAACTCCACTGTCTCCACTGACTAACCTTTTCTAGAGCTTTCAACTGCATCTGCATCTTTGTCAGGGTTTGGCTCAGTTGTCATCTGTTGACAAGTGAGCTCAACACTTAATTAATATTGCTATTAAAAGCATAGCATCAAAGAATAAATCAATGTCAAAGTAAAAATGAAGTTTGATTCTTAACCTTTAATCCATTATGAAGAAGAAGTTGACAGCCATGGAAAGAGTTAGTTAGTGAGTTTTGAGTATTTTGGTAATTATTTGCCATGCTAGCAGTAGTAGAAGAAGATTATTTCATTGTGTACACAAGGTAATTGAAATGTGTCTTTTTGCACATCCCTCCTAGTTATACATAAACACACATATGCATTACATCAGAGATGTCAGAGCACGGGGTCGCCTGCAGTGCAGCGCCTCTGGAGCAGTTTTAGGGTTCTCTGTCTTGCTCAAGGGGAACTTAGGCAGGGTTACTGGTCGGCCTCTTTCACCTCTAGGCCGTCCTGCCTCCCTTTGTCCAGACTGAAATATCCCAACAGCTACTGGATACATTTTCATGAAATGTAGTACAGCTCTTCGTATCCCCCTTAAGATGGATTTTAATCACTTATGACTAATCCCTTGAGTTTTCATCTAGCATCAAGTTAGACTTTGGTTTACTGTCTAATACCTGCAAAACTATTGCCATCATTCTCAGCTGTACTTTGTTCCTATAATTACCAATAGGAAATAGTAGTAGTATAATAATAGTATATGCTTACACACTAAATGAACATCAGCAAGTTAGCATTGTCATTGTGAGCATGTTAGCAGGCTGCCATTAACATTTAGCTCAAAGCAGCACTGTGCAGAAATTAGAGTTGCTTGCATGTCTGAGTCTTGTTTTAATGATTATGACCAACAGAAGGCCAACATTAATCCACCTTTTTATTCTTTATTTATCACTAATATTTATAAATATTAGTTATTTTTTCAAATTTTTTTTTACATTTGTATGGTAACAGGCCTGACAGCAGCAATCACGCTTGTGCTTGATGGCCGTCACACTGATACAACTCTCTTTGAGCCTCTCCACACTCACTCCTTTGGACTTGCATGCTGCAATTTTTCCTCAGTTGTCTGGAACAGCAACGTGGTCACACCTCTCCCTGGCTCTGCCGCCACTTAGTATGCAGCTCGACCTCAACACTCTTATGGTTTACTCTGAACACAAAGTACACACACTCAGTCTGGGTTCTCGCTGTATTGACCTGCTGCCTCAGAGAAACAGCGTTGCAGACCTTTGTCTCACTGTCAATAGCAGTTTGTGGCAGTTTGACTTCAGAATGAGGAGCAACCTTTATTGTGGTGACCTGAGACAATTTATCTGTCTTCCTGTACACATGGATGTTGGTTTTACTGGAGAGGTGTACTGTGTGTGTGTTTGCATGTGTGAGAAAGGATATGTTCTGTAGAGAGAATTGTTTATTATTGAGACTGTACTGTTCACCACACCCCACATTTTGCTGTTAGACAATCAATTTGATGCATGCTTGTGTACCCGTTTACTGTAATTATGCTACTTTGCTGTCAAATTATTAATATTCCAACAGTGCCTAGGAAAGTTATTATCTTGCACAAGTCAATATCATGTCCAAATGGGGGACAAGCACACGCTGAGAGTCAGAGAAAAAAATCTATAAGCCTAATTAATTTAGCACATTTAGCTACTTTACTCAGTTTGATATGAATAAATGAGATGGCTTGCAGTTTCAAATCTGCATGCTGCCCCCAATTTAGTATGATTTTTGCTGATTTAACTCCCTATCGCATCACTGTTTGGCCAACCTTGGTCAAATTCAAATAGTGTGACTGCACTTGATTGAGCTTGCCTGGTGCGGTGGAGATATGGGAATAAGGGGTACTTGCGCCACTGCTAAATGTACATTTTCAGCCAGGGGAAAAAAGGAATAACGTCCACCATATTAACAAAGTTCAGGCTGTTCTCAGATTGGCTGGTCACGCCACCCCCCCTCTCCCCGAAGCCATTTGATCTTGATGGTTACAACAGGGACACTTTGCAGCCATACATTTTTCATACCTAAGTTTGAATCTCAGCTTGTGCTTACGGTTGCTGTGCTGTGACTGTCTCATTCGTGTCTCAGCCTACTTCAACATGACAGAGCCTCACTGCCCTCTTACTGTGCTGCTTTTTTAAGGCCCCGCTGCTTCGCTTACAAGCATATGGCTCGCGGTGACACTTTAAGCCAAAGCACCTCACCACGAGTGCGTTTATTTTTAGCATGTGTTGTCCGAGTGGGAATCAAACTCCTAACACAGGCCCACCCAGATGTCCCAGATAACCTTAATCACAGCTCTAGAGCAGCTGGGGTGTGCCACTAAAGAGGCCAGTTGGACATCAACACGGTAATGCCCTTTGTCTCTTTGCTGTTTTAAATATTTATTGAAAATCCCTTTGTCCAAGAAGCACTTGAACTCACCACTCGTATTACAAATTCATTGCAGCATCACAAGCAGCAGGTGAGGGGTCACTGTCTTGGGGATGAAATGCTTCAGAAGGATTCAAGGAGAAAGCATTTAACTCCATGCATTCAATCCCTCTGCTTTTCATTTCCTTCCTTTGACAAGTGCCTCTCATTCATCCTCACCGTTATCAGATAAGATTAGAGATCAGGGGTTCGCGTGTTGTGAGCGCGGTCGTCAGGGTAACTAGGGCGATGATGTCATCAAGTGGCCAAGACTATTTCCTCCTGAGTAATGAGAAGTCTAAACATCATCATAAGATCAGAAATTACTATAATTTGGTTCCTTGTGTCACAAATAATGGCTTCCGGTGGCAACAGCAGGAATAATTAGGTTGGAAAGAAAAATAAAAGGTACTGAAGGACAAAAACATACCAGTTGATACTAAATGAATTCCATATGATTACATTAAAGTAAAAAAAAATTATGTTTAAAGTTGGACGTTTGTCCCTCCCACAATGGTTGTGCCAATTGCAGCTTAGCAAATGTAACTAGAAACAACAGTCCTGTCACTCGTAATGTACTGTATTTTATGTATATTTGTGGTAAGAACCCCCTTCAAAAAAACAAGATTGTTCATCTCATCTCCACGTGCTGATGTGGTGTTCATGTAGCTGTAGTGAGGGCAATACTGATCATTTAAATGAGAGTTTGGAGGGCCGTGTCTTATTTTAGCTTTTCCAAAACTAAAATAAGAGAAAAGGTCACAGAATGAATTAAACAGTGTGTTTATCTGCTCGAACAGACGCTGCAATCACCGCCATGTCCTGCTAACTAGCTTACTACCTTACTACCTGGGTTTGAGGAAGCGTTCAATTAGTCCTCATCCTACAGAGCTTTTCTCTTGTAATGTTAAAAGTGAAAATATACTGTTTAACATTATGAACAGTACAGCGCTACAATAAAACAAAAAATACTGTTTCTTTCTTCTAATGTTCTTTATATAAATCAGCCATTGGTGTTGACTTCTTGCCCTAGACAGGTATAGCCTCAGTCCTCAGTGAGCACAATAAAAGGTGTAGCCATCAAGTTTTTTAGCCAACTAGGTACAACTCTGAAGAACAATTGTCATTTCAGTTAGAACATTACAGTTTGCAGCTAGAAATGAGAAGTTGTCTTCTGTCAACATCTGTCTGAAGTAAAAAGCAGCTGGAAACTGACACCGGAGAGAAAGAGGAAGTCACAAATGTGCCTTATTCTGCTGCATTCGTACAGGTCATAGCACAGATTCTAAATATAGCAGGATACAGTATGTTTTGTTTGGGTTGCTCTACAACAAAGAGTCTACAATACTGGAATTCAGAAGTAACTTAAACATATGATTATGAAAATATAACCAAATATCTCACCTCTACAATACATTACAGTTTTTACTACTTCTGAGAGACACTTCTGCTAAGGAATTCGAATGATGTATGATCGTGCACTGTAATGCTGCTTTTAAGACTCCAGATGCAGAATCAGTGTTTGGTTTGAATAATAAACATCCCCAGATGTTCATGGCTCTTCACTTCTTCCTGCTGTTTCCTCTCATCCAGAGACACACCCCAGGCCAACGATGGTGGAGCCAAGACGCCCCGGTCCAAAACTTCATCCCGCTTTCCTAGACTGGGCCGCAGCCGCAACCAGGAAGCCAGGCCTGAACCCCAGAGTGGCGACCTTTAACCCCAGAGCCTTTGAACTAGTAATCTCTCACTAATAATCGATCAACTGCGGACGACGATGTTCCTGTCCACCCTGGACTGTTACACACAGGCTCATAGTGTGTGAGGACATTAAGGGTGTCTAACGGACAGATAAAAAGCCTCGGTCGAGGAGGGGAGATGGATGTGTTCACATCGCAGGCCTCTAGGAGATATGTAAAAGTTTCGGTGCATTGCCTGGCTGAATAAAGGATAAATGACTCCCCCGAGGCTGCCTATCGATGGACCCAATCATACAGCCCCTCTTACCTCACTGAGAGACCAAAAGACTCTCTGTTAACTGCACATGAACTAGCCTGGACTGCTCTCTCTAATCTCAAACACAATGAGATGACGGGGACGTGGTTTTTTTTTTTTTTCGTACTCAGTTTTGTAGTGAAAGTGTATCATGGTCACAGTGCCTACAGTGTTTTGTAGCTGCTTTCCTGCTCTGAGTAGGGTTTGGACGGGTGTGTAGAGAGGTGAACAGGGGGTAGACTGAAGTACTCCTTTGGGCAATGAACGGTGGTTTTCAGCTAATGTGTCAGCATTATTGTGCCATTACATTTTAGACGACGATGAGTCACAATCTCTGGCGTGGACCACCAGGCAATGGGCATTCCTTTTTCCTACTTCTGTTATATTATTATTATGATTATGATTATGGCTATTACGGATAATCTGCAGGAAGTGTAACATATCTTAATGTCACCGGGGATGCAGTAATTATCGAAATATCTTTTTTAATTCCACATAATGATTATATTAAAGGATTAGGTTTAAGCACCACTGATAAAACCAACATCTCTTAGGGATTGTACTAAAATGATTGGGGTGAGGAGGTGGGATCTTTTCGAAGACCTTCCACAGCATCATTAATATTTTCTTTGGACCCCTCCCATTGACTTCACTATTAAGAGGCAAAGTACAAAGGATTTAAGATTTTGTAATTTAATTTAAATCTATATATTTATATATAGTGGAATTACAATGTCCACAGTAGCCATTAATGCACACTGTAAGTGGAATAAGACAATTCCAAATTGAAGGCAAACATAACAAAATGATAAATATTCTAGCCACATTATTTTAGAATAAATAAAGGGCTCTACCAACCTACTCTTTAGGAAAAAGAAAAATAACCCTTCCTCCTTTTTTGACCTCCCCCATAATCATTTTTGGACAGTCCCTTATTGAGAAATAAATAAGCATAGATTCTCGCTGTTTCCTCTCAAAAATATATATTCCTCATATCCACAAGTCTTAGATCAGTTTCAAATACTTACTGTGATGTGTATGATAAAACTATCTCATAAATAGTTTTGAGCAGAAAGGAAGGGAAACACTATTTCACCATTGAAATAGAGAGGAAGCTGTGTTCCACTATATCAAATAAATTAAGGGTCTTCATCAAAGGTCGACGGGCTATGCTGAATGCAATGTTTAAAGATTGTTTAACTAATGTGTCCTAGCAGGATTTAATGCAGCGTTATGTTGCAAATGAATGTTTTAATGATGACTAAACACTTGAAGAAAAGCTGCTTGTTAGAGTGCAAGGAAAGGGCTGCTGAGCATCAAGTGTGTGTAAAACAGAAACTCATGCATATGTATGTTTACCCAAGAGTAGTCAGAGACTATGTTCAAAACGAGGAGTGATTGCGTTATAGGGGTTTCGGAAAACTTGAATCTTGAAAGGTCGGCTCGCAAAAATGGTAAACATTGTTTGCCGTCTATGAGGGGAGGTGAATAAACAAGGCTTGTGGGTTTTAATTAAGTTGTTATTCTTACACAAAAGTGACCCTCGCAAGAATCCAACTACTGGTAAACACTGCGCCGTGTTGTAAAGAAATTCTCACAGGGATGACGTCAAATAACCTTTTTTTTTTTTTTTTTTAATATTCTGTCATCATGTGGTGAGCTGGCCGATAAAATAGCCCGGGAAACAAAATAAGGTATAGTATCAACACTTCTTAAAGTAATTATTTCACACAGTTCAGACATTCTTTTTGGACAGGTGGCACTGCTGTTGCATCCTATCAAGAACATGTTATGTAAGTTAAACATGGATATCTGTGATTCTTTTTTATTAAAGACTATACTCTGCTGTGATACAGTAGAACAGTAGAATTGGTAATATTTTAAGTGTAGCACTGCCTTGTATGCATTTGAAAAAATCAGCTCACTGCATCTTACTATATCCTGTACCGCTGACGAACCACATAGTCACAGTTTCTCCATTATAACAAGTAGCCTTTTCATAAACATCTGTTTGGTTGGGGTCAGTGTGTCTCTGGGACCACCAGTGGGTCCAACTTCTCTGCACAAATATTCATATTGTATGTGTGGTAATGTACAGTAATTATGCACAGTGGAGTTTTGGACCACAAGTTGCACCATGGAGTGGTGTTTATATGTGTGGGTCACCATTTTGGTTGTATGATCCATGAACACCCGGGCGAGATTATGAACTTGAAATGACATTTTTGTTGATTAAAGGAACACTCCACAACACTCCACGGGGCACCTTTAAACCTAGAACTTTTTGTTCAAGATAACCGAAGAAGGTGCTGATCTTTTCTCTTGCAGTTGCTAAGCAGTTACTCAAAACTAGTTTGAATCAGGATTGTTTTGCTGAAAGTTAAAATGATCTTTCTTTTATGGCTTGAAGCTCTAAATGCTAAAAATATCTCAGGTACTGTCGAGAATATACAAGTACAAATGTTTCATTGACAATACCAAGAAAAAAAAGAGGCCAGGGCTCCTGGCAGGTTTACTCCTCCATCTTGGGGTATAGAAGTTTTCATATGATCATAAATAGCTCCATCTTCCTGCCTCAGAATCCACCAGACGTTGGATGAATTGAATCTTAATGTACTTTGAGGCTGTTAATCAGAGTGGTGACAAGCAAACGAAGTGGGTTTAGTTTTTTAGAGATGCAGCCAAATTGTTCTCTTGCAGTATGCCATGTCTGTTCTCGCGTACTTTTCTGTCCTTGCCTTAGTCAGCAGTCAGGCCTTATCTATCAGTGTCACAGCAAAGAGGGGATGAACAATAAAGTACAATGTGTACAGTACAATACCAACGCATCTGTGTCAGTGTTGTTATTGTTAACCTTGTTGTTTGCATCTGCCGATGAAGGCCAAAGGCCATTACACAGCTGCAACTGTAAACAGTTTTCTGTGTCAATGCATGCCAGTAATACCTTTATGCATTTATGCATGTGTAGGTGCTTACAGTAGGTGTGTATAGTGTAATTTAAACACAGACAGGTGTGGGCTAAAGCGTGCATATGTTTGTATGGTGAGATGAGTGCATCAAGGCTCGCATTATATTCTGCATGTGAACTATACGCATAAATGGATGGATAGATATTGTGAATTCCATCTTCTGAGCATCTGTGGCCCTCCGTGCATCTGATTTGCTTGTCAGATGATTATTTAACCTTCACTGCTCCAGTAAGCAGTCTCTGAGCTTTTTATTCAAACCGCTCAGCCATTTTGAGCAAAGGCTTCGTTTCTGTCTGTGCTGGGTGTGCTGTACTGAGTCGGTAGACAGAAGAATGGTGAGGGTGTACAAATGCTCATTGTCCATTGACCAGAAAATTGGTTACAAGCCCATTTAGGATGTGGATGTTGCTTTTGGCAATGTTAGAAATTACACACACACACACACACACACACACACACACACACACATACACAACTGGCTGCATGCAAGCCAAGTTCTCTGAGTGCTGACACAACACATCTCCTCCAATGTTTCTATTGTTTTAATAGACTGGATTAGAACGACCTGGCTTGGCGTTGACATTTATCAGTTAGAAAACTTGAAAAAGTCTATATAATAAAATTAAATATTATTATATTTGATCTGTAGAAGGAGATTGGAGGGTCAGAACAGATGTCACACATGAGTCAAAAACAAGGCAAAACACCTGGGAGATGGCAGGAAAGCAATGGTGCAAGACTGAACTGTTTGCACTTTGTAACAATTGGGAACTTTTCCATCTGACATTTTACCCATACAATCCGACCTGCACTGACTACATCAAGAGAGGAGTGGGCTGCCCAAAGCCAGAAGAGGCCCATTAGCTCGAATGACTGCCACAAAGGAGGACATTTTGTACGCATGGCAGATACAGAGTCCGGTCCTGTGGCGGGCGGGTGAGTCAAACCTATTCCCATCAGGCCTGGATAAGAGAACGCACTCATGAGGGACAAACAGGAAAACATCTTGACGTCAAACACGCATTAAGGTAGGTCATGTTTTCCCATGTCCAGCAGTAGCATAGATTAATGTCTATAATTACAGTGAATCATTAATTCCATGTGGACTCATTAATGGCAATGACAAGTTCCAGCAAATATTGCAGTAAATATGTAGCAAGTTATTTGAGCACTTCACAGAGCTCTTTTGCCCTGAGTTGAGCAGCACTTCCACTGAGTCAGGTAAGACTGTAGTTGCAATTTTTGGCATACTTATCCTGCTGACAGGCGTAATATGTATACAGCCTACAATATTCACACACTGACATGTGTATTTGTAAATCATGTCTAGCTCAAAATCCTTGACTTTTCATACCACTTGCAAACTCGAGAGTAAAAGCTATTTATCTTTTTTAACTAAAAATGCTTTTTAATTGAAGAGAGCTTAGGTTACTTTAGAGAAGATCTTAGATTAATGCAGTACAGAAACAGGTGAGCCCCTGTCTCCTTTGCAGTGACAAAAGCAATATGTATAATTCAAGTAAAGTATTTTGAAACTATTACCTGTATTTAATCGGAATATTTGACTGGATTTTACACTACTTGTAATTAATCATTCTCCCCTAGTGGGAGTTGGTCCACGATGAACCGAGATCGTCCTTGTGACGGCGTCCACCAAAGTATGAATACATTTGCCGCATTTCTCCTTCTCATCTCCGTCTACTCGTTGTCCCATTCTCCTGACTCTCCTTGAAGATATGGAAGTCATTCTAGGCTCATTTTACAGGACCGTATGTAATTATCAAGCTCTAACCTTTGTGTGAGCAACATCAAGGAGACAGAGACCCTAGTTTAAACAAGGTCATTGTATAAGCAGTACTCCTATCTCTACAACACACAATGCCGGCTTGGCATCAAGACGCATGTTCATTATAATGATAAGGAACAGTCTGACGTCTCAGGCACCCGATAGACAACAGGCCCTTCAGGAAGGAACTTCCTAATAGATTAGTAGGCTAATAGAAATTAGCATGTGCTCCGTATTTATGCTTACAAGGAGTGTAACAGCAGATGTTCCTCAGAGACTGAGGAGTCTCCATCGGCTCTACTGAGCTACATCTATCTGAAAATGCTTATGTCAGTGATTACAGTAACTTTAGCCTTTGCTACTTTTGATTGCTTTTTGCTTACTCAAACATATTGTAGAGAACACTTTTCTATGCACCAATTTCTTGATAAAAAGTAGTGCGGTCTGTAATATGTAGGGCATGAACAGCAATGAAAGGAGCTTTTACTTTAAAGGGAAATTCAGAGGGGTTATTTTGTATTTTTGTCCATTATGATTACATTGAAACATGAAAACATTTCACTCACCATCTCCATTGTAGAGATCACAGTCTCCTGTAAGAACTACAGCAATCAGTCGCAAAGATTTTGATCATGACAGTTATTATTTAAAACACTTATTTTTAAGTGCCACCAAAAGTAAAAAGTGGTCAAATGTCGTCACCTGGAAATCTGTTGGGAAACTGTCAGACACAAATCATTTTTTCATACTACTCTAGTGCACACCCCAGTGTGTATGAATGAATACGGTAAGTAAGATTTCTTTATTAAATAAGATTTTCTTTCTTTGTTGAGAATTTAATGTTACTGAAATTAAGCTTTGTGCTATTTCAGGCAGAGAGTTGCAGCTCTTCTGTCTTAGTCATTCTCAGTATCACTGGCTACCAGTGGAGTAACATCCAATCACGATCATACATAATTCGAATTCCTTAGCAGAAGTGTCTCTCAGAAGTAGTAAAAACTGTAATGTATTGTAGAGGTGAGATATTTGGTTATATTTTCATAATCATATGTTTAAGTTACTTCTGAATTCCAGTATTGTAGACTCTTTGTTGTAGAGCAACCCAAACAAGACATACTGTATCCTGCTATATTTAGAATCTGTGCTATGACCTGTATGAATGCAGCAGAATAAGGCACATTTGTGACTTGCTCTTTCTCTCCGGCGTCAGTTTCCAGCTGTCTGTATATCAGCACTGCTGTTTGTTTTCTAATATGTTCAGGTTTTGAATTGTTTGTCAGAAAAAACAAACATGTGTGAGCACTTTTTTTTTGTCATACTCACAGGCTCCTGTTCTCCAGCTGGCAGAAGTTGAATTGAAGGTTCCCCGTATTCCCTGCATGTGGTGAAGTGCTCTTCCCGTTTCTGTGCCTCTTTCAGTTTTCCGTCCATTCTTTCATATTTCTTCTCTCCTCCTCCTGTCCTCCTCTACAGGTTGCCCCATTCGTCTTGCTCTCCAGCCCCTCACTCCCTCTCTCCCCCCTTACTCTGATCTTCTCTATCCTCTCTTCATCCTCCAACTATCTTTCAACCTTTATTCTTCTCTCACTGCCTTCTCCCACCTTCCTCAAATCATCACCTCATGCTCTCGCTCTCTCTCTCTTTCTCTTCCCTTTTGTTTCCTCTGAGACTCAGCCTGCTTGGCACATTGTATTTACTCAGCCCGTTGCTGGCTGCCTCTGTTTATTACCTATTCAGCGCTGAGGCAAGAGAGACGCACAGAAATAGCCCTTCTGAGAATTTTCCACCCAACTCTCCTGCTGCTGTCCGTCGCTGAATCTTAAAATGCTGCGTCGGAAAATTGATTGATTCAGGGTTTTTTGTCCTTTCATCTGTTTCAATTTATGCTTTATCGAGTGTCGACTCCCGCCTGTTATGCCAAACAAAGTTCACGTGACCTGTAATTGCAGGGAGCAGGGGTGGTGGATCATGAAAATGGATCACCTAAGGCTCTTAACGGAGGATACATTTCTGTTGTGTCTTATCTGAATGAAATCCCAAGTTGAGCTGTAATGGATTATGTTAATTAATATGCTATCAGTTCTGGGAACATGGGAAATAAACTATGTGCTTTATCCCTGAGCTGTTTATAAACTTCTTCAGCATTAAGGCAACATGCAGCACTGTTAACATCAACTTATTAAAGATAACGGATATGCTGATTCTCACCATGTTGTGGCCCAGATAAGAATAGAGAAAGAAATAAGCATGTGGCGTAGCATGTTAATTTCAAGATAATCTTGTAGGTAAACAGGCAGGACAGACTATTTAGACATTCCCTATTTTCAAGCATGAAAGCTCCAGCTCTGTCTTCAGCTCTTACTGTAGAAAACCAAACTTTTCTTGGATCTTACAAAGCTCATATTTGTTTTTGTCCTCTCATTTGACTTTGTTTCCTTTACCTGTAGGCTGCCTCCCCTTCACAATGCAATCGGATCCTGAAGTGTGCTCTGCCTGCCCCTCAAAGCTATCACAGGCTCTCACAATAGCCGGCGGCACTCTTTTGATCAACCCAGAAGCTTGATCTGAACACCTCGAGGCGCTGCTTAAACCGCAGCAGGGGAGGAAGTGCGTGTTGAGTGCAGGTGAGATGTAGCTGTGCGGAGCGAACGACAGAACTGCCAATGATGGTGGAGACTTCTGAAGGAGTTTGAGGTCCAATTGCATCAGCTCTGGAGTAGAACTAAAACGTAATAATGACTACATTTAAATACATACCAACCTTAAACCAATTTGCCAGTGAATGAATGTAACAAAGTACAGTTACTCGAGCAGTGTACCTCACGCAGGTTATATACCAGATTTAGTGATATATCGGCTGTTTCTGGTTAAACAAAAATCTCTGTAGGCATCATTTCTATAATGTTGTCAGACACTTAGAATAACAGTCTGAGCCTGTCAGCAGCAAAAACAAGGACTGTTAGTGGACATACTTTGACCTGCGCCTTTGTCCCCAAAGATTACATAGCACCCATTATGGCCCGTTTCAGTTATTTTCTCATCTAACTCAGTGAAACCAGAGTTAGTGAT